CTTCTTTCGTCTCGTTTTATTCTCTCTCTCTCTCACTTTCTCTGATTCTCTCTTCTGATTTTCCTCTCTCATACACAGTTCCATTTTCTCTTCTGTCGTCTCTCGTTTTATTCTCTCTCTCTCTTTTATTCTCTCTCTCTCTCTGATTCTCCCTTCTGATTTTCCTCTCTCATACTCAGTTCCATTTTCTCTTCTTTCGTCTCTCTCGTTTTATTCTCTCTTCTGATTTTTCCTCTCATACTCAGTTCCATTTTCTCTTCTTTCGTCTTTCGTTTTATTCTTTCTCTCTCTCTCTTTTTCTCTCTCTCTCTCTCTCCATCTCTCTCTCTCTCTTTTATTCTCTCTCTAATTTCTCTTCTCCTCTCTCATACTCAGTTCCATTTTCTCTTCTTTCGTCTCTTCGTTTTATTCTCTCTTTCTTCTCTCTCTCTCTCTCTCTCTCTTCTGATTTTCCTCTCTCATACTCAGTTCCATTTTCTCTTCTTTTGTCTCTCGTTTTATTCCCTCTCTCTCTCTCTCTCTCTCTCCGATTCTCTCTTCTGATTTTCCTCTCTCATACTCAGTTCCATTTTCTCTTCTTTTGTCTCTCGTTTTATTCCTCTCTCTCTCTCTCTCTCTCTCTCCGATTCTCTCTGTCTCTCCATTTTCTCTTTTTGTCTCTCGTTTTAATTCTCTCTCTCTGATTTTCTCTCCTCTCTCACTCAGTTCCATTTTCTCTCTTTTTTTTCTCGTTTTATTCTCTCTCTCTCTCCGATTTTCTTCTGATTTTCCTCTCTCATCTCTTCCATTTTCTCTTCTTTTGTCTCTCGTTTTATTCTCTCTCTCTCTCTCTCTCTCTCTCTCTGATTCTCTCTTCTGATTTTCCTCTCTCATCTCAGTTCCATTTTCTTCTTTTGTCTCTCGTTTTATTTTATCTCTCTCTCTCTCTCTCTCCGATTCTCTCTTCTGATTTTCCTCTCTCATACTCAGTTCCATTTTCTCTTCTTTCGTCTCTCGTTTTATTCTCTCTCTCTCTCTCTCTCTCTCTAATTCTCTCTTCTGATTTTCCTCTCTCATACTCAGTTCCATTTTCTCTTCTTTTTTTGTCTCTCGTTTTATTCTCTCTCTCTCTCTCTCTCTCGTTTTATTTTCCTCTCTCTCTCTCTCTCTTCTTTCGTCTTTCGTTTTATTCTCTCTCTCTGTCTCTCTCTCTCTCTCTCTCTCTCTCTCTCTCTCTCTAATTCTCTCTTCTGATTTTCCTCTCTCATAATCAGTTCCATTTTCTCTTCTTTTGTCTCTCGTTTTATTCTCTCTCTCTTTTTCCGATTCTCTCTTCTGATTTTCCTCATTACTCAGTTCCACTTTCTCTTCTTTTGTCTCTCGTTTTATTCTCTCTCTCTCTCTCTCTCTCTCCGATTCTCTCTTCTGATTTTCCTCTCTCATACTCAGTTCCATTTTCTCTTATTTTGTCTCTCGTTTTATTCTCTCTCTCTCTCTCGATTCTCTCTTCTGATTTTCCTCTCTCATACTCAGTTCCATTTTCTCTTCTTTTGTCTCTCGTTTTATTCCTCTCTCTCTCTCTCTCTCTCTCTCTTCTCTCCTCTCCGATTCTTTTCTCTCTCTCATACTCAGTTCCATTTTCTCTCGTTTTATTCCCTTTTCTCTCTCTCTCTCTCTCGTTCTCTCTTCTGATTTTCCTCTCTCTACTCTTCCATTTTCTCTTCTTTCGTCTCTCGTTTTATTCCCTCTCTCTCTCTCTCTCTCTCTCTCTCTCTAATTCTCTCTTCTGATTTTCCTCTCTCATACTCAGTTCCATTTTCTCTTCTTTTGTCTCTCGTTTTATTCTCTCTCTCTCTCTCTCTCTCCGATTCTCTCTTCTGATTTTCCTCTCTCATACTCACTTTCATTTTCTCTTCTTTCGTCTCTCGTTTTATTCTCTCTCTCTCCCTCTCTCTCTGTCTCTCTCTCTAATTCTCTCTTCTTTTTCCTCTCTCATAACCAGTTCCATTTTCTCTTTTTGTTTATTCCCTCCTCTCTCTCTCTCTCTCTCTGATTTTCCTCTCTCATACTCAGTTCCATTTTCTCTTTTGTCTCTTTTTATTCCTTCTCTCTTTTCTCTCTCTCTCTCTCTCTTCTCTCTTACTCAGTTCCATTTTCTTCTTTTGTCTCTTTTTATTCCCTCTCTCTCTCTCTCTCTCTCTCCGATTCTCTCTTCGTTTTTCCATTTTCTCTTCTTTCGTCTCTCGTTTTATTCCCTCTTTCTCTCTCTCTCTCTCTCTCTCTCTAATTCTCTCTTCTGATTTTCCTCTCTCATACTCAGTTCCATTTCTCTTCTTTTTGTCTCTCGTTTTATTCTCTCTCTCTCTCCGATTCTCTCTTCTGATTTTCCTCTCTCATTTCTCTTCTTTCGTCTTTCGTTTTCTCTCTCTCTCTCTCTCTCTCTCTCTGTCTCTCTCTCTCTCTTCTCTCTTCTGATTTTCCTCTCTCATAATCAGTTCCATTTTCTCTCTTTTGTCTCTCGTTTTATTCCCTCTCTCTCTCTCTCTCTCTCTCTCTCCAATTCTCATTTTCTCTTCTTTTTCCACTTTTCTCTTTTTTGTCTCTCGTTTTATTCCCTCTCTCTCTCTCTCTCTCTCTCCCGATTCTCTCTTCTGATTTTCCTCTCTCTCATACTCAGTTCGATTTTCTCTTCTTTTTGTCTCTCGTTTTATTCCTCTCTCTCTCTCTCTCTCGATTCTCTCTTCTGATTTTCCTCTCTCATCTCAGTTCCATTTTCTCTCTCTTTTATTCCTCTCTCTCTCTCTCTCTCGATTCTCTCTTCTGATTTTCCTCTCTCATACTCAGTTCCATTTTCTCTTCTTTTTCTCTCGTTTTATTCCCTCTTCTCTCTCTCTCTCTCTCTCTCTCGATTCTCTCTTCTGATTTTCCTCTCTCATACTCAGTTCCATTTTTCTCTTCTTTTTCTCTCGTTTTATTCCTCTTTCTCTCTCTCTCTCTCCGATTCTCTCTCTGATTTTCCTCTCTCATACTCAGTTCCATTCTCTTTCTTTCGTCTCTCGTTTTATTCCCTCTCTCTCTCTCTCTCTCTCTCTCTAATTCTCTTCTGATTTTCTCTCTCATGTTCCATTTTCTCTTCTTTTGTCTCTCGTTTTATTCTCTCTCTCTCTCTCTCTTCTCTTTTTTTCCTCTCACTTTCATTTTCTTTTCGTCTCTCGTTTTATTCTCTCTCTCCTCTCTCTGTCTCTCTCTCTAATTCTCTCTTCTGATTTTCTCTCTCATAACCAGTTCCATTTCTCTTCTTTTGTCTCTCGTTTTATTCCTCTCTCTCTCTCTCTCGTTTCTCTCTTCTGATTTTCCTCTCTCATACTCAGTTCCATTTTCTCTTCTTTCGTCTCTCGTTTTATTCTCTCTCTCTCCCTCTCTCTAATTCTCTCTTCTGATTTTCTCTCTCTCTCAGTTCCATTTCTCTTCTTTTGTCTCTCGTTTTATTCCTCTCTCTCTCTCTCTCTCTCTCTCTGATTCTCTCTTCTGATTTTCCTCTCTCATACTCAGTTCCATTTTCTCTTCTTTTGTCTCTCGTTTTATTCCCTCTCTCTCTCTCTCTCTCTCTCTCTCCGATTCTCTCTTCTGATTTTCCTCTCTCATACTCAGTTCCATTTTCTCTTCTTTCGTCTCTCGTTTTTATTCCTCTCTCTCTCTCTCTCTCTCGATTCTCTTCTGATTTTCCTCTCTCATACTCAGTTCCATTTTCTCTTCTTTCGTCTCTCTCCTCTCTCTCTCTCTCTCTCTCTTTTCTCTCTTCTGATTTTCTCTCTCTGTTCTCTTCTTTGTCTCTCTCCCTCTCTCTCTCTCTCTCTCTCTCTCTAATTCTCTCTTCTGATTTTCCTCTCTCATAATCAGTTCCATTTTCTCTTCTTTCGTCTTTCGTTTTCTCTCTCTGTCTCTCTCTCTCTCTAATTCTCTCTCTCTCATTTTCTCTCTTCTCTCGTTTTATTTTCTCTCTCTCTCTCTCTCTCCGATTCTCTCTTCTGATTTTCCTCTCAGTTCCATTTCTCTTCTTTCGTCTTTCGTTTTATTCTTCTCTCTCTCTTTCTCTCTCTCTCTCTCTCTCTCTCTTCTCTTTCTTCTGATTTTCCTCTCTCATAATCAGTTCCATTTTTTCTTTTGTCTTCGTTTTATTCTTCTCTCTCTGATTTTCCCTCTCTCATACTCAGTTCCATTTTCTCTTCTTTTTCGTCTCTCGTTTTATTCTCTCTCTCTGTCTCTCTCTCTCTCTTTTTCCTCTCTCATAATCAGTTCCATTTTTCTTCTTTCGTCTTTCGTTTTATTCTCTCTCTCTCTCTCTGTCTATCTCTCTCTCTCTGTAATTCTCTCTTCTGATTTTCCTCTCTCATACTCAGTTCCATTTTCTCTTCTTTCGTCTTTCGTTTTATTCTCTCTCTCTCTCTCTGATTCTCTCTTCTGATTTCCCCCTCTCATACTCAGTTCCATCTTTTCTACTTTCGTCTCTCGTTTTATTCTGTCTGTCTGTCTGTCTCTCTTTCTTTTTTCTATCTCACGCTTTATTGTTCTCTTCATCAACTCCTCACTTTTTCGACCTCTCTACAGAGCTTACTGCCATATCACGCTGAAACGCCGGTTCTCGTTAAGCAACGTGGAGCCTGGTCAGTACCAAGATGGGTGACTGCTTTGGTAATACCAACTGCTGTAAATTGGATCTGCTGGTAGTATAAAAGGCTTACGACAATATCCCTTTGGAACATCGGTTTTCGTAGGATCACCGATGTTAAGCAATGTCGAACCTGGTCAGTACCAAAATGAGTGACTGCTTGGGAATACCAGCTGCTGTGAGATTGGATGTGCGTTTGGTATAAAGCGCTTACGGCCATATCCCTTTGATATATCGCTTCTTGTAAGATCACCAAAGTTAAGCAACGTTGAGCCTGGTCAGTACCAAGATGGGTGACTGCTTTGGAAATACCAACTGCTGTAACTTGGATCTGTGGGTAGTATAAAAGGCTTACGACAATATCCCTTTGGAACATCGTTTTTCGTAGGATCGCCGAAGTTAAGCAATGTCGAACCTGGTCAGTACCAAGATGGATGACTGCTTGGGAATACCAGGTGCTGTAACCTTGGATATGCGGGAGGTATCAAGGTCTTAAAGCCATATCCCGTTGAAAGATCACCGAAGTTAAGCAACGTCGAGCCTGGCAGGTAGGTAGGTGAATGTTTGGGAATACCAGGTACTGTAGACTTGGATGTATGGATGCTATATAGGGTTTACGGCCATATACCTTTGAAATACCGGTTCTCGTACAATCGCAGACGTTAAGCAACGTCCAGCCTGGTCATTACCAAGATGGGTGAGTGCTTGGGAATACCAGGTACTGTAAACTTGGATGTGCAATCGTGTAATGGATATCGGTTCGCTTAGTTTCTAATTCTAGATGAGTTCGCAAATACCCCTTAGGAAAGGCATGAATCCACTTCTTCTTCCCTTAGATATGGGTTAATTAGTAGATTTCGTATCAGTAAAAGTCATTATTATCACTAAAAAAAAACTCTTACAATCTTATAATATTTTCTGGCTTTAAATAACCTGCAAAAGGTTGATAACTCGTAAAAAAGCAAATCAATCTCATACTGACAAATCACGAAGTGTAAGTTTATCTTTACATACGCGCACTGTTGCTGAAAACATGGAATTTCTTTAATCATACTCGAACCGGACTCCCCCGACCATCCACATTTTTCCACTACCTCCCCTACTTCTCATGTACTGCTTATTTGTGTCCCGTTCTCTTTGTCTTTCTTCTTCCAGTTGTCTGTGTTGGTTTCTTTATTGCGTTTTCTTATTTGATAGAATCCAGCGGAAACAATGAAGAGAAAGAATAGTCAAAAAGTCCTGTGGGATGGATTAATGGATTGGTGGATTGCAGGAATAACTGAATGAATGGAGTTATGGATAAATGAAAGGGAATGAAATAAATGGAATGATGGAATAATGGCATGATGGAATGATGTAGTGATAGAATGATGTATAAATTGAATGAAATGATGGAATAATGGAATGACCAAATGATGGAATAATAGCATAATGAAATGATGAAATAGATAAATCGATGGAATGATGTAGTGATGGAATGATGAAGGAATGGAATGAAGTGATGGGATATTGGAATGATGGAATAATAGCATGACGGATGTATGGAATGATGGAATAATGGCATAATGGAATGGATAATTGGATGGAATGATGTAATGATGGATTAATGGATAAATGGAATGGAATGATGGAATTACGGAATGATGGGATGAAGGATAAATGGAATGATGGAATAATAATGAAATTAGCCTGAAAAGCTGGAAGATGTTCGTTCGCACTCTGAGTTGGTTGGTTGCTTGATTTTGTTAAGCGGCATATCAACACCTCTATGGGTCACTTAATGCTAAAATATTATGCTTTCAACTACAGATATTTGACACATAATCTTATACTTTCGGGGTAAGCTTATGTCTTTTAGATACATAGATTGAAGGTTATAAAATGTAATGTTTGTGATTGTGCGACCAAAATGAATTTTCATGTTTTTTTTTTTTTTAGTGTTGCATTGATTGTCATTTTGCTAAAAAATGTATTGTTGGTCATTTTATTATAAAAATGTACTGTTGATTTTTTTGGGGGGTTCACTATTTGCCCATAGCTGGGACCCTAACAGGTGCTACCACCGTGGGTCAGGGTGGACCTGGAAACAACAACAATTTGTTCCACGCTCCTCAAAACCTCTAATTTTTTATTAACAAATAACCATTAATTTTGATGTTTTCTATATCGTGTAGTGTGTTTAATAAAACCCTTGACAAGAAGGGAAAAGTTGGTATATAGCTGTGTTGGAGAATCCACGTCGGCAAAGCGGGAAATGTCGGTTCAGTTGACGAGTGATCCAACCAACACATAATTTCCTTTTCTCTGACTCTTCCTTTTTTTATCTTTTGTATTTATTTTTCTTAGTAGTTGCCGGCTCACAACGAAGCCCTTCAAAAATGGAAGGGGAGCGCTGTTAGTTGTCGAATAATAATAATATGAATTTCATTTTCGAATATTTCAAAACGCTGCCGGAAGTGCCACTCGGAGCTTAAGCGTAAATGTCTGATTTGGGTCACTGACTTTGAGACGGAAACTTCCGGTCGATCCGACAAGCACACTGCACAGTCCGCCAATGCCAACTGGTTCCGATGATTTTGGATTAGCGATGCTCAATTTCCAGATAGGTCTGATATGGTTTGGTTTATTTTGCTTTACGGCTTATCAACCACAATCTGTTATTTAATGCCGACAAGATTTAAAGGATAGGTTCGTATGAATATAATATGTATTCTTTATAAGAAATCAGTTTGTAGATCAGGTTTTATTGACGTATTTTTGTAAAAAGGCTTTTTGTCGAGAGTCTGTTTTCATTGATGTATTTTCAGATTGGTTTGGTTTATTTTGTTTTACGGAATATCAACACCTCATTTAATGCCGATAAGATTTTTAGGGTAGGTTCGTATGAATAGAATATGTATTCTTTGTAAGAAATCATTTTGTAGATCAGGTTTGGTTTATTTTGTTTTACGGCATATCAACCTCAATAGGTTATTTAATGCCGACAAGATTTCTAGGATAGGTGCATATGAATAGAATATGTATTCTTTGTAAGAAATTAGTTTGTAGATCTGGATTGGTTTGTTTTATTTTATGGCATATCAACACTTTAATGGGTTATTTAATGCCGACAAAATTTTTAGGATAGGTTCGTATGAATAGAATATGTATTCTTTATAAGAAATCAGTTTGTAGATCAGTTTTGTTTTATTTTGTTTTACGGCATATCAACCTCAATAGGTTATTTAATGCCAATAAGATTTTTAGGATAGGTTCGTCTCAACAGAATATGTATTCTTTATAAGAAATCAGTTTGTAGATCAGGTTTTATTGACGTATTTTTATAAAGAGGCTTTTTGTTGAGAGCCTGTTTTATTGTTGTATTCTTTTCCAATTGGTTTGGTTTATTTTGTTTTACGGTATATCAACACCTCACTGGTCATTTAATGCCAGCAAGATTTTTAGGATAGGTTCATATGAATAGAATATGTATTATTTGTAAGAAATCCGTTTATTCGAGATCAGGTTTCATTGACGTATTTTTATAAAGAGGGTTTTTGTCAAGAGTCAAATATATTGCAGGTAATTTTTTTTAAATTTATTGGTGGTATTTTTATTATAAAAACTTATTTTTATCCTTTCATTGACCCCAGTTGGTAAGGTTAAGTATTTGCCTATAGCTAGAAATCTACCAGGTGTTACCACCCCGGGTCAAGGTGAACCTGGGAACAGCAGAAATTAACATTCACGATCCTCAAAACCTCTCTTGCCGGATGTACTTGTTGATTGAAAAGTAACTGCCTATATTATGTATGAGTGACCAGCCAGGAATCCTGTTACGTTTTTTTTCGGGGCGGGGGGGTTAAAGGAGAAAGTCTACTATGCTAAACCAAGATTTTGGACCAGCTTTAATTGATGTCTTCCATACTACAAGAGTTTCTGTCCATATTTCTGAGATGAGGTATTAAGGACACTATTTATATTATTCGGACTATTGTCCTCGTCTTTGTCGCCATATTTATTACAACGTTTCGGCCGTTGGAGAGGGGAATTAACAGGAGATAACTGACATCCATTAAACATGGCACGTAGAACTAGAACAGTCTACCCCAGTGAACGAAATAAAGGGTTCAGTTCGACATTCCAACCACCTGAAGCGACCAAAACATTGTAATAAATATGGCGACATGGATGAGGACAATAGTCCGAATAATGTAAATAGAGTACATAATACCTCATCTCAGAAATATAGACAGATACTGAGGGGATTTTAGCTTAGCTATTTTGTTAACATCGACGTATACATCTCTAACTATCCAGTGGGGTTGCTCTATTATTCCACTGGGGAGCAGTGCCAGACACGAAAGAAAACACGTCTACATTGTTCAGCGGTTAAACTTGACTCGGTATTTACCTGAAATCCCCACAGAGCAGTTTAACATGGGTTCTTCCGAGTCCGAAGTCTGGGGCAAAAATTCCACTTAGACCTCGTAATAATGGGGTCGGTTTTGTCTACCTTCCCAGACGAGACTCTGCCCTTCGTCACAGCCTCGTTTGGGTTCCTCTCTTCTCGAAGAAAGAGAGTTCGACAAGCACTTAGCGCGCGGCCAAGCCCTAATGCTAACTAATGTTAAGACTCGACACACGGAAAGCACTTTCTCTGTATCGTTCCCACCCTCGTTCAGCCAATGAAAAGTGACTTCCTTGTTTTGTCTTTCATCTGACCCCAAAGGTCAACCTCGTTATGTCCGAATAGTCTGCTAAACTATCATTTAACATTACCACAATGTGAGATATTTAAAATCTCATGTTAAACGCTTTCCTCTCATGTACATTTCTTTTTAAAAAAATATAAGTATTTTAAAATGGGGGAGTTACTTTTCAATCATCCCAGGACGTTTGCAGATAGGGAATTTCTTAGGAGAATGGATATTTTAACGACACTGGGTGTGTTTTATGATTGAATTCTTACGTATTAAAACGTATTCGCCATTTTCCATGTAACAGTAAAGTTTATTATTATTATTATTATTATTATTATTATTATTATTATTATTATTATTATCTTCATCATCATCATTATTATTATTCTTTCTGTAATTTAAAAAGAACAAACTGGGTTTCAAAGAAAAAGCCATTTTCGTTTCAACACGAATTTGCATTGTTTATTTTCTCTTTTAAAATGATAGAATCAAGTATTAGAAAACATAAAATAAATGTAAGCATTCTTTTTTTTACCCAAACTAAAGCCAACCCAGTGAGAGACGAGATAAAGGAAAAAAATATGTGAAAAAGGCGGTTCCTTTTATTCAGGTCTGAAAGAAAAATGCGAAAACGCGTGCCAAATAACGAAAGATTAATTCCAAGGAAGAAAACAAGAAAGAGAGACGTTGTACGCCAAATAAAGAGGAGAAAATGCAACTAAAAAAATATTAGTATGCAGCATTTTCTATTTCCTTCACGAGCGCAAGACACAGCTTAGTCTTATATCGTTAAAGGTCAAATAAATTTAACACGCCATCTCTCTCGTTCGAAGCGCCTATATCGACTTCCGTTTTAATCTGAAGTGTCAAATTTTTATCAATATTTCTGTAAAGTCCACATAAGCTTGTTGTTTTGTCTTTCTTTTAGGTTTTTCCTTTTCGCTTTTTTTCTTTCTTTCATTCTTCTTCTTTTATGCACCATATCCCTTTAGGACGTAGGCGATCAAGTCCCTCCACATCTTCCTGCACCTTGTCGCTCTTAATAAGTTTTGTTTTTTTGCTATTTCTCCCAAACCCTGTTCCGCCATTTATTTGCTCATGCGCATTAAGTACGTCACGCGCCGCTTTCCTCTGTAACTCTATCCGTCCTGTGAGTATCACATTTTTCAAGACCTCCTTCCTCATTACGTGTCCGAGAAATTTTTGTCTCTACCTGATGTTAAGATTTCTTCTTTCATTACTAATTTATAAAAAGAACTAGTCTACCCGTGCCGTCAGAATTGACTGCAAGAAGGAATGTATTATAAGTAATATGTATTATATTGTAAGTAATTTTTGTTTAAGCCAAGTTCAATTTTGTAATTAAAAATAATTTGTTTTAAATTTAATACAGTGTAATCCGGATATAAGAGACCTGGATATAAGAGAAACCCGGATATAAGAGAGATTTTCTCTGGTCCCCAATTAGAGCCTGTGTTAATGTATATAAAATAGACCAAACCCGGATATAAGAGAAACCTGGATATAAGAGACTTCTTCTCCGGTCCCGACAACTCTCTTATATCCGGGTTACACTGTACAAATAAAAAGGAATGTACAGTGTGACCTGGATATAAGAGAAACCCGGATATAAGAGAGATTTTCTCTGGTCCCCAATTAGAGCCTGTGTTAATGTATATAAAATAGACCAAACCCGGATATAAGAGAAACCTGGATATAAGAGACTTCTTCTCAGGTCCCATAACTCTCTTATATCCGGGTTACACTGTACAAATAAAAAGGAATGTACAGTGTGACCTGGATATAAGAGAAACCCGGATATAAGAGAGATTTTCTCTGGTCCCCAATTAGAGCCTGTGTTAATGTATATAAAATAGACCAAACCCGGATATAAGAGAAACCTGGATATAAGAGACTTCTTCTCAGGTCCCGACAACTCTCTTATATTCGGGTTACACTGTACAAATAAAAAGGAATGTACAGTGTGACCTGGATATAAGAGAAACCCGGATATAAGAGAGATTTTCTCTGGTCCCCAATTAGAGCCTGTGTTAATGTATATAAAATAGACCAAACCCGGATATAAGAGAAACCCGGATATAAGAGACTTCTTCTCAGGTCCCGACAACTCTCTTATATTCGGGTTACACTGTACAAATAAAAAGGAATGTACAGTGTGACCTGGATATAAGAGAAACCCGGATATAAGAGAGATTTTCTCTGGTCCCAAATTAGAGCCTGTGTCAATGTATATAAAATACACCAAACCCGGATATAAGAGAAACCCGAATATAAGAGACTTCTTCTCCGGTCCCGACAACTCTCTTATATCCGGGTTACACTGTAATTAAACAGTGTACAATTTATAACCATCTCAGGAAAGATATCCGTATTTTAAATTATATAAAGATGGATTATTTTCGTCTAAATTGTAAAAACTATACCGAGTCTTATTTTTTTTTAAATTTGTTGAATCTTTCTCGGGTTTTTGTTAAATGTCAAAATTCGGAGTGTCGGGATTTGATACGATAATATAAAATATTGTTGCGGGACAGATTATAATTCGGCCATTTAGAATAATCTCACGATTTAAAAAATAAAATAAAAAGAGACAGAAAATAAACATTGATTTGCAATTTTTTATGAAAGAAAATCCATTCAGTGCAATGTGAAAACATGAAATATACATAAAAAAATATTTGGAATATAAATTAATAAAAGAAATCACTATTATACCCAATTTCTTAGGGAATTATTTTAAAACATATGTATGCGTGATAGGTTATCTCCCTTCTTTTTAGAACTCTTCTTTATCAGAAGTTTACAATATTTGTAAATAAAACTTATTATTTATTTATATTTTATTTATTTATCAATATGGATTCATGAAAATATTTCATAATGTAATGAACTTGAATAATCAAAATGTTTAAAATGAGAGGTCAATATAAAATTAAAATTATTAAAGGAAATTACATTAATTCTTGCAAAATAAAAGAATGCAAAAATGTAATAAAATCATGTATTAATTTTAAAAAGTTTAAAGATGGATTAATTTTCGTCTAAATTGCAACAAATATAGTATTATTATAATTATTATTTCAAAACACATTATGGCTTGTTTTGTTTTGTTTAACGTCATATCAACCTCAATGGGTTATTTAATGCCGACAAGATTTTTTATTCCTGGTAATATTTTTTTCCCTCAAACATCTATTTTTGGTATTTTTTTAAATGTATATCTGGTAATATTTTTTTCCAAAATAGTATAGCAGGTATTTTTTTTGCCAAAAGTGTATAGCTGACCATTTTTTCTTTAAAAATGTATAGCTGGTAATATATATATATATATATATATATATATATATATATATATATATATATATATATGTGTGTGTGTGTGTGTGTGTGTGTGTGTGTGTGTGTGTGTGTGTGTGTTTGGTTTTGGTTTGTTTACTTTTTATGTTTGGATATTTTTGTAATAGGCTTTTCATTTTTTTTGTCCTTTAGTAGGATTGGTAGATTTAGTTGTATGTGTGTCTGCAGATTTCTGTGTTCTTTGGGTTGAAATTTGAGATATAAGGTGTTGTGGATTCCGAGATGAATTCGGTCTCCAAGGAATGACAAACGCAATAATTAAATATAAGAAATAAAATGTATTTACACAATCATACAAAGAGTAATGTTGATTTGTAACCTGTAGTCGATATTACTTTTGTCAAATTTTCTTGATTACACAGCGGCCCTTTTATAAATGCCTTTCGGTTTTAGTCCCCCCCCAACCCATCTCTCTCCCCCACCCCTTTTTATTTTATTTTCCTCTCCCTCTTTCATGTTCTGATTTTTAAGATTATATCGTCTATTGTGTGTGTATGTCACCACAAAATGTATCTTTTCATCCTTACATATTTAATGTATTTTAGACATCCGAGAATATTCATATTTCTCTCACTTAAACCGTCTTTGACTCCCCTCTTTAAAACTTCTCTCTGTTAAATTTTAATCCCCCCTTCATCTTTAGACCTTCCTGTTCTTCTCTCGTCTGTCACCCCTCCCTATAGCTTTCATTTACTCTAACATTCGTCACACACTCTCATACATACGCTCTCACTAAATTTTATTTTTTTTTATTCCCGGAGTTGTTTTTTCTGTTTACTTTTTGAATTTGTAGGTCTGATGAATTGGATCGTATTTACGATTCCAATGCAATAAATTATGACCATGGATATTAGTGTTTAAGCCTTTTGTATTATATATATATATATATATATATATATATATATATATATATATATAAAAAAAAACATAATGTATTGCTGGTAATAATGCATTGCCGGTCATAATCACTTCAAAAATTCTGGTAATAAGACTTTACAAAGTATTTTTGGTATCAAAACCTATTTTTACACATTCATGATGTTTTGACCCCATATTACAATTATTATTTACGTGTTACAATTTAGCTCTTTTCACATTACAATTGTTTTCTATTCTACTACGCCTTTCCCCTCAGACGAAAAGTCACACGCCTCAAGACTGGGTATACGGAGGGGGGATTGCGGAAAACATAAAAAGAAGAACGAGGATCAAGAAATCAGAAGATTACAATTCGCGTTGCATTTAAATTTTTGAAGATTATAGCTATCAGGGAAGCAAGTAAGAGGAAGGGAGTTCCACTGTTGGGAAGTGCGAAAGAAGAAGCTGTTGGAGTAGAAGAGGCGGTTACATTTAACTGTTTCGACAGTAAAAGGATGGGACCGAGATATCAACCTAGTAGCAGTCGGGACACCAGGGAAAAGGGCTCGTCAGAGCAGATGCCATGAAAATATTTGTAGAAAAGACAGAGGGAAGTCGCATCACACCTGTGAGAAAGTGACTGGAGTCGAGATGAAATCATTAGACACAAATATAACCGTTACAAAATGCCTCAACACATTAAGAAACCACCTCAAAACATCTAAAGAAACACTTCGTCTGCATTTCCATAAAATTATACAACTATGAAAACTAATCGCCAGCTACTGTTTCTTCTTTTTCAATAAAATTTTCTATAAGTAATTATTCGGCTTACCTATGGGATCACCTCTCAGTGCTATCAGAGCAGTTGCCATGAAAATATTTGTAGAAAAGACAGAGGGAAGCCACATTACGTCTGTGGGAAAGTGACTGGAGTCGAGGAGCCAAGTTAGCACCGTCTTTATTGCTATTTCCATGACAAGTTAACAGGTTTCATTCGCCAGTGCCATAATTCTTGACTTTCACAGCTCAGAACCACCTTGTCACGTCCACAGGGTTGAATCATCCGCATTTCCTCCATATTCCATTACTAAGAAGAAATCCTTTCTTACATATCCTCTTAAACTACGCTCCATACTGCGTGTCAACCACAATTGGTGACCCTCTACCTTGCGTGCCTCGGAAAAGCTTTAGAAAAGTCTAAAATATTAGACACGAGAAAGCTTCAGTATCTGTCTCTATTTCTGAGGTGAGGTATTATGTACACTATTTACATTGTTCGGACTATCATCCTCATCTTTGTTGCCATATTTATCACAACGTTTCGGCCGTCGTACGCTCCGGCCTTCTTCAGTCTGCCCCACCGAGCGAAATAAAAGGTTCAGTTCGATATTCCAACCACCTGAAGAAGGCCGGAGCAAACAACGGCCGAAACGGTGTGATAAATATGGCAACAAAGATGAGGATGATAGTCCGAACAAT